ACACATTATATAGGCTACACTAACGTGATGTTTAGGCGGTTCTTTTAACTATTATACGTGATGTACGGGGGATGGTTAATGAAAGTGTTCCAAAACGCGACATTAATTTCTTGACGACCTAAACTTTAGCGGAGATGAGTTTACGATTTTAATGATTTTTCCAAACTATATATATACATGTAGATAAGTTTGTAATTTTGATCAATTACAAACACATGGATAGTAAAAGTTCTGATACCACCACATTGTTAATAGCTGACCTCTACAAACCATTCTCAATACAAAAATAAATAAAATGCATTTGCCAGAAAATGTTTGTGTTTGACATCTAGCGCAATTTTAATAATATATATTTCTTCACACTTCCATTCTAAATATCTGTATATAAACTTAAACTTTAACATAAGGTATTACTATTTTCAAATTGAAGGTACTTTATGCGACACATGGACTAAACTCTGAAGTCAAAGATCACAAGATTCAGGCATAGCTCTCCCTAATTTCGAGCTACTGACCATAGGAAGAACAACCAATAAACAGTACCCGTCGCTTGCCTACTACTCCTAACAAGAACAGCGGGATTGACTTTCACTTTTATAACGCGCCCAAAAATGAAACTGTCGATCACATTCAGGGGCATATCGTGGGCTCGAATGTTGGACCTTGCTATCCGCAGCCCTGCACGCACAGTCCATTCAGCATAGGAAGCTATTTCTATTAAGATGTGTCTTTTGTGAAATCCATGTTTTGAATACAAACATGTTACTATACATAACCATTTTTTTTCTGTACAACGTGCTAGAAACTCTAGATCTAACTGACATAAAACGATTTCACAAAACGAACCTATACAGCAAGCAACGACTAAGAAACAATAATGGTTTCTTCGGCGGAACTCGTAAACCAAAAATCACTGCTTGTGCTTATGGAAAGTGAACTTATCGTCCCCAGTGGGAAGTTAGATTTTTAGTTTGTCTGTTGTTAAGCACAAAGCTATACAATGGGCTATATTTGCTTTGCCCACCACGAGTATTGAAACCTGTCAGCGTTATAAGCCTTCAGACTTACCGCTGTGTCACTGGGAAGCTAGCAACGCACACTGCACTGTTTAATCTCTACTGAGAATTCACAGTTTTGTAAGGGTATTTTTGAATGTTATAACTACCACGCGGCCAGATCCCAGTCGCTCCGTCAGGATTGGGTCTTACAATTTGTGTAAATCCAGCGAGATTTTGTTAAGGGACTCTGGTGAGGTAGCATTGTATAAGCGTGTTAGCGTTAGTCGTTATAACCGAATTCCAAGAAACAGATACTTTTCTTTTAAACATTAAGAAAATTCAAAGATTTATTACATTTCTATAAAAATTATAGGGCTGATACGTACTTTAAACTGAATCACAGTAATCAGGAAATTACGCTTGGCACTGTTAAGAATTGAAAATTTCTCACTTAGATGTATTTATATTTTTTTGCCAGTGGCAAAATTTTCAAACATCTGAACTTATTTCAAGAAATAGGAATATAAATATAAAAATGGCAAACAGCAAGACATCTTTAGGTGTTATACACTGGTTGGTTCTTCTGAACTTAATAAGTACAGGAATGGCAAAAACCATTGGCCTTTTTGTACGTGTTGTACACTATTTGGGTCTTTCGAACTTTGTAATTACGGGAATAGCAAACACCAATGGTTTTTGTATATGTTATACACTGTTTAGTTCTTCTAGATTTTGTAAGTACAAGAATGACAAACATCAATGACTTTTTGTACGTGTTGTACACTATTTGGTTCTTTCGAACTTTGTAAGTACGGGAATAACAAACACCAATGGTTTTTTGTATATGTTATACACTGTTTAGTTCTTCTAGATTTTGTAAGTACAAGAATGACAAACATCAATGACTTTTTGTACGTGTTGTACACTGTTTGGTTCTTTCGAACTTTGTAAGTACAGGAATGACAAACACCAATGACTTTTTGTACGTGTTGTACACTGTTTGGTTCTTTCGAACTTTGTAAGTACAGGAATGACAAACACCAATGCCTTTTTGTACGTGTTATACACTGTTTGGTTCTTTCGCTTTTTGATAGAAAACCCAATGTTATCATAACTTGTTTATTATGCATAAAACTTAGATATAATAATTCAGAATGAAGAAAAACACACACACGCCAACACAGTATTCGGAAAGAGCATACAGCACTACTAATGTCTAAAGGAACGAGTAAGTATGACACGAAAAGTCACTAAGTATAAAGCTGAGGTTCAATGTGTGAGGATAACACGTAGGATTACTAATAACTAGTGATTAGGTCCAACACTGAGGATCACTGTATAGATAGGTATAACTCGTAAAGTCATTGTGTGGGTATAACACATTGTGAAACTCTAACTTAAAGTGATCCGGATCGTGTTAATTGAATAATAGTTTTATTTACTTTCACATGAAATGGATAGATTGAAGTTTTAAATTAAGTTTGAAGCTTGCTAATTGAAAAATTATCTTAGTTTCGAAGCTCAAGTCAAATATTTGAAATTAGAACCACAGATTGAAAATGTAAAAAAAGAGAGAGAAATTGTGGTTCTCTACAATATTTGATTCGGGTTAATCATGGCTGCTGTATTACACTGGTTGAATTTTACGAAAATCATATCCTTATTGGTTGTGTAGACGGGAAAAGATATCCGTTGCGGTGTTGCGTTTTAAGCTATACAAGATGACATAGTGCAACAAAGTGCCTTAACAAAGGTCGAATTTGTAGGAATAACAAATATATATATACAAATGTATTTAACTCTGAAATACAACAGGTTTAAGTTGTTTTCAGAAAACGTAATAATATTAAACGCGCACTATACAATGCAGTCTTTCTTTCTTTATTTATTTATTTTCTCGTTAATTTGTATAAGTGCTAGATCAGAGGAGACGTAATTTCCCTTTGCGGCCGGATTCTGTTGGTATCTAGATAACTCACTACGTCTGAAAGCACGTTGTTACTGCCTTCTGCTTCACAACATCGTGTATTAACGTCGTGTACAGAAACGTATCGTGGGAAAACAGCCAGAAAGGAGGTTTGAGACGGTGTATGCCCACCATTAGGTCTCCTGAATGGATTAACTCCCAAAGGAGCTTGGTGGACTTAGTCACGTTAAACTGACAAGACCTTAGGTAGACCAGTAAATATCCTTATCGGATATTATCAAAATAAAAAGCACAGAATTCTTCATTAAAACAGTATTAACGTAATTAATATATACTAGTGATACCGCACATCAGTTAGAGTGAATATTTGAGATTCAATAACTTCATAAATTATCTCAGTTTAATACAATTTAACGGTAATATAAGGCACTTCACGACACTTTATATACTGACATTATAAGTCAGAGCATAAAGCTAAGTTTGTTTTGACACTTTATACAGTATACGTAACGATTCTAAAACTCTAAAACCTTTGCTGTTTTAAGAGTTAAAGTTTTTCCAGCGATCCTAAGAACAAAATTAAACGTATGCATCTCTCTTTAATTGAAGGCTCACCACGTCGCCACGATTAGTCATACTTTATCTGACGACAATTAAGTTTCCATTCCAAATCATATCACTCCTCCTTATATGCTTTTCATAAGTTGTCTAGTCTACAAGGACGACGGTTCCCAGTGATCGTTTCAACTGTCCGATTACATAGAAACACATATATTTTATGTGGAACAGCATGAATACCGGTTTCATTCTCCAGCTGCTTGTGATATTCAACGACTGAGCAAATATGTCGTTTACTTGTTTACCCGTGACGTGTGTTACTTTTCCTAACGGAAATTCTTATTAATTATGTTGTGTATTGTTGCCCGAGACATGTGGACGTCTTTTACCACTGACATTGTGTTCGTGGGTTTTCACCTGTTACAAGACGCTGTACTTTGCTTTCTTTTTCGATTCCCTGAAAAGAATATTTTCAAAGACTTTACAGGCCCTAAAACTCCAAACCTGGGCTCATAGAGCCCTAGATAAAAATAACACCCCTTCAGTGTAATAACAACATTCTTTAATTTTAGATAGTTATTGACTAATTTTGTTTAAAATCATGTATAAAGAAATACATTTTTCTAAATCATTTATGCACCAACTTACTTTAGGTTCATGATATTTTTGGTTACCGGGTCCCTAATAACTTACGAGTTACTGAAAAATAATTTAAACGAAAACACCATCAAAATTGTAGTTAATTCGACTTTTCATTGCTGGGTTTCCTTCTATTTAACATAACAACTGAGTGATTTCACCCCCTTTTTTTGCCAGTTCTATATACTTTGTGTTGTAACAAGCAAAAACATAAAATTGCTCAACAATATAAAAACAAGTCGGTAATTTGGGAGTTAACGGATTTATCTACCTGTTTCATAGCTTGAATGGGCAGAGCACAGATAGCTCTTTGTGTATCTTTGTGCTTAATAATAAACATCAAAGTTAAATGTAAAAAATATTTTATGGTTGATATAAAATTAAAGATTATCATTATGTCCTAAAAATGACTATGATAGCTACCCTTTACAAATCAACTTTTTCTTTGTGTATTATTCAAATGAAATGTTTAAACCTATACGCACAAATTATCCACATATCAAACACGAAACCTCCGTTGTTTCCCTCGTAATTGTAAGAACTCAACAGTGAAAATAAAAAGAACGTACAAAAAATGTGTCAATCACACTATATCCAACACGTAACACCTGGTTAATCAGGTCGGCTCGGATACGACCATTGATCAGTATATATGTTATTTATATTATCAACTTGAATCAACAGCAACTCATATACGAGTAAGTTACAAACCAGAATTAGAGGAATGATTACTAACATGATATTATCTACTTATTTTGACACCAGTAGTTTATTATTATTATTTATTTTTACTTGAATTAACTTCATTCATCATTCAGAAGAACTGAACTGACAAGTAACCATATCGTCAAAGGAAGAAGACTTCATTAGTAATTATAAGAACTGAACTGACAAGTAACCATATCGTCAAAGGAAGAAGACTTCATTAGTAATTCTAAGAACTGAACTGACAAGTAACCATATCGTCAAAGGAAGATTACTTCATTAGTAATTCTAAGAACTGAACTGACAAGTAACCACATCGTCAAAAGAAGAAGACTACATTAGTAATTCTAAGAACTGAACTGACAAGTAACCATATCGTCAAAGGAAGATTACTTCATTAATAATTCTAAGAACTGAACTGACAAGTAACCATATCGTCAAAGGATGATTACTTCATTAATAATTCTAAGAAGAACTGAACTGACAAGTAACCACATCGTCAAAGGAAGAAGACTACATTAGTAATGCTAAGAAGAACTGAACTGACAAGTAACCACGTCGTCAAAGGAAGAAGACTACATTAGTAATGCTAAGAAGAACTGAACTGACAAGTAACCACATCGTCAAAGGAAGAAGACTACATTAGTAATGCTAAGAAGAACTGAACTGACAAGTAACCACATCGTCAAAAGAAGACTACATTAGTAATGCTAAGAAGAACTGAACTGACAAGTAACCACGTCGTCAAAGGAAGAAGACTACATTAGTAATGCTAAGAAGAACTGAACTGACAAGTAACCACATCGTCAAAAGAAGACTACATTAGTAATTCTAAGAAGAACTGAACTGACAAGTAACCACATCGTCAAAGGAAGAAGACTACATTAGTAATTCTAAAACTTTTAGAGTAGAAGTAACGAAGAATGTATAACAATATGTCAACCACGCTATATCTACATTATTGTAAAGTTACCAAACGTACTCGTACTTTGTAAATAAAAGCAATTTCAGCATATTTTTCTTTTCAAATATTATATTCCCTATTATTCTTTGTTTACAGGAAGTGTATTGTGGCACTGACACAATCTGCAGGATAGAAAGTCTTAAGTTTAACACACTCTACAAAATAAGGATAAAGGCAGCTAACAACATAGGTTCGAGTGGTTTCAGCGATACTTTGTCTATTCGAACTGATGAAGGTGAGATATTGAAACATACTATAAGATAACAGATCTCGGACCAAAAAAATAGAATAACACTTTATTATTTAATGTACGATTTCAAGCAAGTATTTCAACAAATGTTTACTTCACCTTTTGGTAATAATTTGACACATTTTTTAAGCTTAAAGTTCTAATTTTTATATAAAAAAAAGTTGATAACAGTTTTAAAGAGATACATCTGTAAACCTGGTGAATTATAAGGATCAATAAAATGGTGGTGGCTATCAGCATTTTGTTTGCATCCAACATTCAATGCTTTTAATCTTTCGTCTCTTCCTTGCTTAAATAGTTTTAATCCTGTTACAATTTAAAACATGACTGATTTTAATTGTTCAGTTGTAATCCATTTGTCGGCAGAAAATTAAATATCCGGCAAAGCAAGTTATGCATGAACAATCTTTATTTTGCCCGGAGGTTGATTATTGATTTATCATCAATAAAGCAAACGAAGTAAAATATTGTCCCCTGACAACTCATTAATCAAAATAACCTTTTCTCCTAATCTTAGTGGTAAGGATTTACTCCCTCTACAAAAGCCCCCCCCCCCCAGGGGCACAGTGGGATGTCTACGGACTTACAACGCTAGAAACCGGGTTTCGATACCCGTGGTGGGCAGATCACAGATAGACTATTGTGTAGCTTTGTGTTTAATTCCAAACAAACAAACTCTCTACAAAACATCGATTGAAATTGTTTAAAAAGCCTTTGGCAGTTCTTTTACTTGTAATTCTTCGATTTGGTTAATGTTTGTTTTATACCAAACGGGCTCCTCTTTTTACATGTGTCAGAAACGTAAACGACACCAGGGTATTGAAGCTCGGGGTTCCACTTTTGTAGTCTACGTTTTTCCACTTTTAACTGTTTGAGTTGTTAACTAAGTTTTATGTGTATCTCTGATTATTCAATCAGGCAACATTACAGTCGATCTTGTATTAATACTTGCTCTTAGCCAAGGGAATGAGGAATTCGAATTTAGTCTATGAGAACGAAAAGTAGAAGAGGTGTTATTCTTTGAAATAACTTATCAAATATTGACCGGTCCTGACATGGTCAGGGCGCTCGACTTGCAATCTACGGGTTCTAATCTCCATCTCACCAAACATGCTAGCTGTGAGGGTTAATTCCACTATTCGTTGGTAAAAGAGAAACCCAAAAGTTGGCGGTGGATGGTGATGAGTAGTTGCCTTCCCTTTCAGTGCTAAATTAGGGGCGGCCAGCGCAGTTGTTTACTTTCTCAGCCATGTATTTAGGTAGTCTTTTGATATTCCCGTTGAATTTTTACTCAGAGATGTTGTGAAATGTAAAATATTTTGTTATTTGAGCTGAAAAACTCCAGATTATGTTGTTTATGGAACTTGTAAAAAAAAAGTTAGGCTGTCCCTTTTGTAATGAAGTGGGCTAAGGATAGATGTAAGAAAACTGAACTTTTTTATCTCTAGCTGATTAGCAGAGATTGTTTAGTAAGAAGACAACGCGCCTGTTTTTTGTTGTTTTTTTGTCGTTGGAAACTTTTCTTTTTGGTGCGTTTAAAAACGTTTATTCGAACGTACCTCTAAATGTGGATGTTGATCTATCACACGAGCTACCCCCTCCCCCCCCCCAGTGACACAGCGGTATGTCTGCGGACTTACAACGCTAGAATCCTGGTTTCGATACTTGTGTTGGGCAGAGCACAACTAGCCCACTGTGTTGCTTTGTGCTTAACTTCAAACAAACACACGTAATTCTCACACGTTATTATTTATCAAGGTCATGTCAGCCTGGAATAAGTCGACTGGACATGCTGGCTTTGTTTGAAGTGTGATGAGTCCAAAAAGAAATTGACGAGCTCACCTTAGAGACTGCTGTTGTCAGTTATACAGTTTGATCTAGTCTAATGACATGTTAAATCATGAGATTATCACAAACCCAGGTTGGATGAGTTATTAAAATGCAACAGCAGTTAAACTATACTGACTGACCATTATATTTGGATCTCCCCCCCTCTCCATTCTGGCTATAGTAAACTACCTTACAACGTAATAATAACCTGGACTTGGTGTGGCATACACTCCATAAGATGCCTGAAAGTGTATCTTGTTCTATTATAGCCATTAGTTCACGAATATAACGTGGTCAGGTTTCCCCTGTAGATGCCAACTGTATTGATATCTAGTGATTGAATTGGCTAAGAAAGCTATTACCATGCTCTTCAAACCAATCCCGAACAATACGAGTAATGTTATATTACCGTTTAGGTCCACCAGGATGGAAACAACGTTCAGATATTTTCTGGACATTCTTCAACTTTCTGAAAGAATCAAAATATACAAAACCTGCTAGCAACACATCCCCTATACATGTTCCTTGTGTGATTTGATCTATATTTTCATTCTGTTAATTGTGTTTCACCAAATCATACCATACATTTATGTTTTGATTAAGATAACCGAAATGAATGATACGCTATCTAGGTAGAAATTCCTGTAGTTTAGAGCAGTAGTTCCCAAACTCTTTTAGTCTGAGGCTCCCTTGATGTGAATAAAGAGGTTTGAGGCCTCCCAACCTATAACTTTAACATGGTGATTGAAAAATAGTGCCACAGTAAAAACAATAACATCTCCTTTCGACATAATGTATCAGTTAATTAATTCAACATAATTTTTATCGACTTATTGTTTATTTGGAATCAAAATTAATTCAGCATCTTTATTTTCGGCCCATTTTTTGGCGGCTCCCACTTTCGGAAACACTGGTTTAGTGCGTAAATAGTTTAGTAAAAAGATATTAGAAACAATTTTCCAATAATCAAAATTCTAATATACAGATATTCGCACTTAATCACCTGGAATAGGTTCCTCGTTTTGAGTTAAAAGCGTTTTTATAGTAAAAATATTGGCAATTTAAAACTCATTAATTAATTGCATTATTATTAATATTTAAGTTTGTACTTAAAAAAATATAACAACAATTAATCTGCTTTTTCACACAATAATATAAATTCCACGTTCATTTTGCCTGTTTATATCTTTTTGATTATTTTTACATTCATAATCTTGCCTTAGTATACGTTCAGGTACAAGTAAAACTATAGGGAAATTATGCACGAGAGATAGCTATTGAGACTAACACTTTTCCGTAATGTGATTCCTTGCCGTTCGTAACAGTATGTTTACGTTGCTGTCCCATCAGAAAAGATTCGGTAATTATATATGCTAAAGGAAATTAAATTATTTTGAATATCATCATTAAAAGGTTTGATTCCCATATGCACGCGCTATTTGATATCCACTTGTTGCAATATCTGATGTAATTAGGTTACTGACCGGAATGCTTATGTTTAAAAACTTTTAACTTTAAAATCTAATGAACTTCAAATCTTCTTATACAGTAATTCAAATTAAATTCAATGTTTTTATTTATTAAATCCTTAGATATGAAGCATATGAGCAAATCTTATACATAGGTGTGTAATATATGTGTTTCTGTTTACATTCTAGCTCAATTTTAATAAGCCATTCTAAATGCAGCGAAAACGGATTTACTAAAAGGTTTTTCGAAACTAACTAAATTGTATGATGTAAACAGCATTTTGATATTCAATAGTTATTTGAATTCTAGTTCTAGAAAATACATTTTAAGATACTACAATGCCATGTTATGTTTTTTGTACAGTGTATTCACATTTTGGTTCCTTTGGTTTATTCTGCTGTGCAGTCTTCTTCCTTAGTACTGGGAATTAAATGATTTGTTATTCATTTCCCTGTATAGTTGCCTGGTTTAATCTGGATCCAGTGAGTGCCCATTCTGACATCATATTGTCCAACGAGAACCAAACCGTCACAAGCAGCACCTACGAACACCGAGTGGTGCTGGGTAACCTTGGTTTCTCACAAGGAGTGCATTACTGGGAATTTGTTATCGATAAATACAATATGAATGCGGATCCTGGTTTTGGTATCGCTACTTTTGATGTGGCTAAAGATATGATGTTGGGTAAGCCGAACTTTTTAAATATGTTAAATAGTGAAATAAATTCATGTTGAAACACCGAAACTCGGTTGTCGTATAAGTAAATCTCCTGTATAATTCATTGTTGTATTTCTCAAAACGTGTGATGGAAATATTGATGATATTTTAAAGCTTCTTCTGTCTGAGAAGACAGGTTCTAAAATTTAACATATTCTTTGGACTGTAAAGTCATATTTTCCTTTTTTTTTACCAAGTATGATCAAACATTCATATGAATGCATGTTTAATATCGATTTAGAATGAATAAAACTAGTTTATTTTAAAATGTTCAGGTTGTCGAAAGTGCTGTGGAAGCGCGTTAATGTACGTTTTCACATGTTAGGTATTAAAAACGTGCCGAAAATTACATTTACAATAAACTTACAATGACTTTACTGCATCTAATGTGGACGTATATGAACGGGCTTCAATGCTATTGCCAATGTAGCGTGTACGTGGGTATTTGTGAAAGGTTAGGATTCGCAAAACTTACTCCCACCACACTCCACTAAGAATGCTTGGAACTGTTTTTGAAGTGCCTCAACACTTCATCCATCTATGTCAAAGCGACGCCGAATATAGGGATTTGGAGACATGTAGATGAACGGTGGTCATGTTGTATTAATTGTAAAGGTTTGTGATGGGCATGTTACGCTGTGGGCTGTATTATGCGCATTAGACGTGAGGTCTACCTTAAAAGTATCTACATATTTAAATACCAGTGGATATCAACAACCTTGGTAGAATATTCAATGAACAGGCCAATGTGTTGTCGCAGAAAAATATACATGTGCAACTTATGCTCGATTAAAAAAGATATAATCAACAACTTGTAAAGAGTTGTGCAGATCTCAGATCATAACTTTATAGATCATATCAAGGATCATTTAGCGAGATTAAATAGAAAGGTTTGACCACGACCTTTTAGTCTTACAGTCTGACTGAGGTCTTGAAACACGAATGGCAGCAAATTGCACGAGACAGTTTCCGAACGTAGTTGAGAATAGTAATATTTATTTGGATGGGAGGGTGACTGCTGGACCATATTAGGTTTGTTTGTTATTTCGAATATTCACGCAAAGCTACACAAGAGCTAACTGCACCAGTCGTTCCCAATTTTGAATTGATAGATTAGAAGGGCAGCTAGTTAACGGCATCCATCGCCAAATCTTTGGCTACTCTATTCAAAACAGTGGGATTTGACCTGCACTCTTATAACGCACCCACTTCCGGGTTCAAAGTGTGGAGAGCGATTTTGTGGTGAAGAGACACTAACCATGGATCTTCGAATCCATATTCTGGCATGCTAACCATTAGCCACACCTGGTCCCACCTTAATAGGACATTGGATATAGGACACCCTCTATGTCTGCATGACTAGTTACTATTGATAGAAACCGGGTTTCGATACCCGTGGTGGACTGAGCACAGATAGCCTATTATGCAACTTTGTGCTTAACTACAAACAAAAAAAAGAAATAAACTATTGATAGTTTAGTGTATGCTATTAATACATTATTGTGTATAAATCGTTATTATTTCAAGTCACCATAGAAGTTAAATGGATATTTTATTGAAATGTCAGTAGTGTTATACTAATGTTATCCTTGTGTACTGCCAGTTGTTTCATTAGTAGGTTACGCATTACACAGAAAAGATAAATAAAATTATGGATCACTTGAAACACTAATGTACGGACCTCAAACCTTTCAATGTCTTGAGAATAAATGATTTCGTGCGTTAATTTCAATATTAGAATTTATATAAAAAGTGGGTTCATAATAAAGAACTTAAAAAACTGTGATAGTGATGTTAAGTTTATTTCATATAAAAGTGTTTAAATTTGATGAATTTCTAAACAACGAGCAAAATGTAATGAAATGAACTTCCAAACAAGAGAAAATTATATCACAAATAAAAATTCAGTTAAATAAAACAAAACTAAATACATTATAACATACATGAAACTTCTGTATATATCAAATATACATTTGTATATATACGTCTAAATATGATTATGTAAGTATCAAAGATATATATACATATATAATTATGTAAATATCAATGACATATATATATATATACACACACAGTTATAATTAGATTTTTAATGTTTAAGATATACTGAATACATCTTTTTCTGCCAATTCTCAAACTTGGGTTCCATAATAAATTGTATACGGACAGAAAACTACATATAAAATGTAGAAAACTTAAAATTACCAACAAATATTTCTGCCATTTTGCCGTTTCACATGAAGTTGGAAATTTACCCCCCTTGATTAAGGAACAGGACAATCTTTCAATTGTTTTTTGTTCATGAATTATTACTTTTAGGGAAGGATGACAAAGGGTGGAGCATGTACATCGACCACCAGAGGTCGTGGTTTCTACATTCTGATCGTCATGATAACCGGACTGATGGGGGAGTAGGCTCCGGATCTGTAGTTGGAGTGCTTTTAAATCTTGACCTGCATCAGCTAAGTTTCTACGTTAATGATGAACGCCAAGGGCCCATCGCCTTCACTGATCTCCACCAGGGGGTGTTCTTCCCTGCAATCAGTGTTAACAGGAATGTCCAGGTTACAGTCCAGACAGGACTAGAACCTCCGACGGACAGCAGTGATCACGAGAGTGAAGGAGAAGGAAAAGGTGTAGGTTAACTCTTTGGATGGCTCTGGTTATGTGTTGATAAGAAGAATGAAATTAAACACATTTAAACTGGAAAATATCGCCGTAGAACTTCGATATGATTTGTAAAAAAAGCTAATCAGTACACTTTCAGAAATGTTTTCTCCCGATTTGTGCTAAATTCTGCAAGAGACGCGGAAGATAATTTAATCTTCTCTTATATGGTAGACCCTCTTTTCTTTAAGTAATCTAAAACGTTATTAAGAAGTTACACAAAACGTGGTATTAATGGTATTTGATCATATAACACCAAATTCAAAAGGTATATTTAACACTGTAGAGAAATATGAATTTTTACAGTCTAGTGATAAGAATGTAAATCTCTCTTGGTGCGAACGTTTACTTTCAGGTGTTTTTTTTTGTGAGTGACAGAGCAAATATTTGTAAAGTTATTGACCTTTCCATAATTATTTTTATATTTATTGATATTATTTCTTCGCAAATAAGATAAGCTGCGATCACATTAAATAAATCACATCTTATTGTCTGAAAATAGGCAGAATGTAAAGCACAAAAGTCATTATTTTCTTATTTTGATAACTATTTTTCTGTTTCAGATAACTTAAGAATTGGACGAAATCATAAGTATATTTAAGAGACGTTTGGACGTTTCTTTCCTATACAGCTCATGCCTGTTGTCAAATGTTCTTATATTTTTGACACAAAATAAATTAATTTTTTGGAGTGCCTGATGAATTTTTCATCTGAAACTTTAATGTTGACCAATTCCAGTGCAAAGTCATCCACCCTTAAATATATATCTCTGGCATCCGAAACGGTATGTTTTCAGCATGCGCGTAAGATTACAAGTTTCAGATTGGTAACATGGCATAAATTTATAGATTAAATATGCCTTCCTATTTTTCACACGTTAAAATGGTTAATTCTGGAGAGCTTGTTAACAAGTTGTTTTCCTTGAGCCTTGTGTATATTCATCAACAGCATAATAAAACATTACGTTTTGGATACAACGGGCATATGCTGGTAAATGGCTGTTATACTAGAGTCTTGTCCGACTCTAGTATGAAATGAAAAATTCCTTAGGTCTCGAGAGGATTGATTTATTTTCTATCAAAAATGTAAAAATATCCAGTACCAGGATATATAGAAATATCCAATATCAGCAGGAACCATACAGGTTAAAAGTATCCAATACAAAGCAGGAATACGATAGGGATATCCGATATCACGCATGAATAGTGAAGGATGGAAGATATAGGATAAAAGATGTTTAATACAATGCATGCATCATATCGGACAATAATATTTCATTTCATGTATGAACCGTATAAGATAATAATAACCAATACGAGACATAAAATACTCAGATTAATAATAACCGATACAAGTTGCGAAGTGTATAGGTAAACAATATCTAATACCAAGAACGAACCGTGTGGAATACGAACATCCTGTAAAAAACATGAAGGATTCAAGTTGAATATACCCAATATAAGGTGTGAGGCGTACAGGATAACAATATATAATACGAAGATGAATGTACCCGGTACAAGCTGTCAAGTGTACAAGAAAGCAATATCTAATAAGAAGAACGAATCGTGTAGATGGCGAACATCCGGTAAGAGAAATAAAAGGTTCAAGGTGAATATAATCGATACACATTGTGAGGTGTATAGGATAGCAATAGCTAATACGAATACTACGAACATCCGGTAAGAGAAATAAAAGGTTCAAGGTGAATATAATCGATACACATTGTGAGGTGTATAGATAGCAATAGCTAATACGAATACTACGAACATCCGGTAAGAGGAATAAAAGGTTCAAGATGAATATAATCGATACACATTGTGAGGTGTATAGGATAGCAATAGTTAATACGAATACTACGAACATCCGGTAAGAGGAATGAAAGGTTCAAGATGAATATAATCGATACACATTGTGAGGTGTATAGGATAGCAATAGCTAATACGAATACTACGAACATCCGGTAAGAGGAATAAAAGGTTCAAGGTGAATATAATCGATACACATTGTGAGGTGTATAGGATAGCAATAGTTAATACGAATACTACGAACATCTGGTAAGAGAAATAAAAGGTTCAAGGTGAATATAATCGATACACATTGTGAGGTGTATAGGATAGCAATAGCTAATACGAATACTACGAACATCCGGTAAGAGGAATAAAAGGTTCAAGGTGAATATAATCGATACACATTGTGAGGTGTATAGGATAGCAATAGCTAATACGAACACAACGAACATTCAGTACGATATTTGAAGCGCTCAGGATAAAACATACTTGACATAAGCCATAAATGATTTAATATTGTACATGGAATGAAGAATATGAGATGGTACTGTAGTTCATGAGAAAATAACAGTAATGGGCAATGTAGGAAGTGAATAATGGCTACGTAAACAGACAAAGTCAACATTTCACCTAAAACATGTAACCTCAGACCGTTATTGCGTTCGACGAATGAAAATACCGTCGTTGCGGTTTCTATAGTTACGCAGATTCTTTTTTTTTTCGCTAAAATAAATAATACGAATACAAAGTCCAGTACACGTCATGATAAGGAAAGCATTTATTTCTTGAATTACAAATTCCACAAGTTAGCGTAACTAACGTCCGCTGATAGACCTAAGTTCACACAATATTTCCACTTACTTGCTAATTTTCTCTCGAGCGTATGGTACTTTCTCATATCTCAATATTTCATTGAAACATAAACTCAGTATTCAAAAAACTGAAATAATAGGCAATTGACTAACAACCTCGATAATTCAGTAACCAATTCACTACCGTAACAAACTCACTTAATAGATAATAAATTCTAATCTTACGTTTTATATCTCTCTCAAATAGTTTCCTCGGCTTTCAAGAAAATTACACACGTTAAGCCATGCCCTCATCACGTGACATCAAACTTCTTCTAGCCAAAGAAAAACAATACTCAGGTCTGGATTAAAAACAAAAATATCATAGCCTATAAAAGTACATTTGTGGGCAGTGATGTGAAATGATAGGCTGTTCAGATTCAAGCCATTTTTTGTAATTGTCATTTCACGCCGTTTTTACTTTTGTTGTTGTTTATGAGAACTTCCTACTAATAAGTAAGTAACTTAAGCATTAACCCACTGTAATCTAGTATAGAAAAACTTAGAGATATTTGTTCAATTCTTTTGATGAAGCATATTCTATTACAAAAGGTGCAGCTCGTATGACCTAACTGTTAGAATTAAATATACCTTTAAAATCATAACTGTTAAAGTTAACTTTACCTTTAAGCTTAGTGACAATGTGTCTTGGCTATAATGTAGCTTTTTCGTCATGCTGTGTAAAGGTAACCAATATTCCAAGTTGTTTGAAAGATCTCACTCACAGTATCATCTTTAGTAGTCAGTTACTATCTCATCACCTCAAAGTGGAGCATTTTTTCCCTCTTAGTAATATAATTTGTATTGCTTATTTTATGTTTATTTATTCTTGTTGTTTTTGACAGGGATTTTGCTCTTTTGCGTAATTTAAGTAAGATTTTTATTGTTAGGCACAAACTGCACAATAGACTTCACGTACTATTGCCTATCACAGGAATAGAGCTTCAACTGATAATTTTATAACCCCTAAAGATTACCGTTGACCTACCAAGGGACAATTTAAATAAGAATTTGATAGAGGACGTGTAAATGTAACGTAATTATAATAACTAAAGTCAGCACACAGAATAAAATAAACTTTATTTTAAATGAAGCGAATCAAATTTTAACTAGTGAGGATATTTAATAAATATAAATTTAAAAGCTAAATAAATTATGGCACAGTGACAAAATTAAACAAGTAAGCGGAAGAATTTCGATGAATTTTATTGAAAACGTAAATGAACACAACCTAACGTGTTATATATTATTATATGATACAGCGAAAGATCATTAATAGTATTTACAAGACCACATGTAAGGTCTATTTGGTGTTGATTTTACTTTCAGAACCACATTCAGGTTTGAATATTGACACTGTATATGAAGTGTAATGTATGAGTTTATTTGTGTAGTCAAAATGTTGCATGGTGTATTTATCTATGAGACTTTTTTTTGGTTCATTAATTCTGTGTAATTCAGTTGTAACATGTACAAGAATTTGTAAATAAACAAAACTTTCATATTCGATTTCTCGCAGTTTGTAATTATTTATGAATATACTCCGAAACACATTCAGTTAAGTCTCATCCAATAACTCTTATACCAACGTCACGTGGCATCTAACAACTTAGGCTTACACTGAAGGACATGTTCATCTTACACGCAGGTGTCATTACTTGGATGACACAGAAATACATATGAAATAACAAGGTGGCTCTTAACTGTAGTTTGATTAATTAGCACTTTATGTCTTCTCACTTCCTGATGGACCGATTGTCTAGCTCAATATCAGTTATTAGTCAGTAAAACGTACTAACTATTAAGAAAGAAGCCCTAGAAAGCTAATTAAGCATAGTATTTCATGAAAGTGCTGTTCCTCGTCTTTCGCTTTACCCATCAAGAAAAACCTATCTTACTGCAAAGTGTTACGTATTAGAATTGCATATAGCCTGAAATTGAGTTAACTGATAAATTTAAATTTAGTAGTTAAGTTGTACTTTGGATTTAGCAGTTAAATTAAAGACGATATATAAGTCAATTTACGATATTTGCCAACAAGATTGATACACACAGTTTCCTTTTTTTTAATACAAATATATGTTAATATATAAACAATAATACAATTTACAATAACAGTTATTACAAATAGTTATTACACACAATGATTTATATACAAAAAAATTACAAATTTACAAGCAATATAAAGTCTTCTTTCTAGCCTGGAATTTCCTTGATATCTTAACGAGGGTTCACTATGAGCGAGTTAATTACGAGTTGATATAGGTACAATTCACATAACAGGAAGCTAGCTAGCCATGTAGTTCTAGCTGGTCACACGCCGATTACAGGTCGAGTTTTCGTAAAAGTACTAATGTCCGATGTGAATCCACTGAAGTTGAATGATTTGCAATGTTCGAAATTTATAAACGTTCCTGGTCAAATATCTGAAATGTCCCGATTGATAAGCATTATAAAAGTCACAGTTATAACTTCCGAAGTTTATGGCACACCAACTATAGCAAACCAATAATATATACTACTTTTTTGGCGCGTCGCATTGGTTATATTTATAGGCGTGTGGAGAGTTTCTAGAAAATTCAGATTACGTAACAATACAAAGCTACATTAAGCGTTTACGTACACACACATATTGTTGATTCTTACTCTCGAGAATCTTCTACAACTTAGAGAATAGGCGGGAGTTTCGCAATACATATTTAACTGCATAAGTTATGTACACTTGTTAATATAAATTTAATTCAAGCATCGATCAAACATCGATATTAAAATAAATGTACAATAATAAATCCGTCACAAAAGTTTGATCTCAAAGTATGATATGATGTTCCATAAAAGAACTGTTCCTCTTCCTTCGCTATACCCATCAAAAGAAACTTTTGTAATTGCAATTTTGATCTGAAGGTATGGTATGGTGTTCAAGATATGATGTTACATAAAAGTGTTGTTCTTCGTCTTTCGCTTTTCCCACCAAAAGAAACCTGTCTAACTGCAAATTTTGATCTGAAAGTATGATATGATGTTCTAGATATGATGATATATAAGTGCTGTTCCTTTTTTTCCGGTTTAACTATCAAGAGAAGCTTTTGTAACTGCAAGTTTTGATTTGAAGGTATGGTATGATGTTCTATAAAAGTGCTGTTTCTTTTGTATTTTGACATCATTTTTATGGTTACATTATTTAACAAAGTTAAGTGACCATAAAGGTTTTGTATTTTATCCATCAAAAGAAACTATTTTAACTACAAATTCTAATTTCAAGGTCCGAAGTTTGAAAGCTATAAAACTTAATTAACAGTTCTAATGAAATACAGCTATAAAGACTGGATTAAAAAATGACTTTCTACGTTATCGGATAGGGAAAGTAGGCCTATACAGCTGCAAAATTGAGAGGTTACCAAATAAAAATAATTCTACTGAATAATTAATGTGCCAAGCTATAGGATGGATGAAAACTTTGTACATACATTAATGGATCTGATGGAGCTTGTAGAGAAAATGGAAATCACTGAAATGTTTTCATAAGAACAGCATATTCGAGCTAGATATGTGATGCCACTAAACACGCTCCACAGTTTCTTCTGTGGGTGTGTTATAAATGTGACAGTCAATCCCATCATTCGGATCAAAGAGTCGGACAAAGTCCTAGTAGCGACGAGTACTACTGCACCTGGCTGTCTTCTTTCAGGTCAGTACTTCAAAAATAGGGGCAGCTATACCTGAAACCTAGGTATCTCTAATCTGCCTGGCCGTTTAGTCCATGTACTCATTGAGTACCGTTTAAGTTTAAAAAGTTCCAATTCTAATTTACAGCAGAATTGCCGAAGAAAAAAAAATGAAGACGCAAACTTTCACAAAATAATCATGTTGGAACCTATCTTACATCCACTGAAAAATTTAAAAATCAATTTGTTGAACAAAATTATCGACACAGCTATTGAAACTGTGGAAGAGAGATTTTATCAACAAGAAATTTGTTTCAGGATTGTCGTGAAAAGTTACACAAAGGACTATCTGCGCATAGCTGTTCCTAATTTTAAACTGATAGACTAGAGGGAAGGCAGCTAGCTACTCTACAACACCTCCCGCCA